GTAACTAACCGCAGTGAAGAATATTGAGCTATTAAATGATTATTGGAAGTTCACATTCTCAACTTCAAAACATGAAAAATTATGAAACATTTCAGAAATAATCATACGTAACTAGCAGCATTGAAAAATATTTATTAAATAAAATAATTAAGAATTGGAAATTTTTTTTAATAAAAATTAATTTCGCACTGGAGTTCTGTTACATGGCAACCAAATCATTCTGATTTAGTTGCCCTCATTTTATTACGTACCTCATTTGGTTACATACTTAATCATTCTGAACCACAGTTAGATGAAGACATGTCAGCAGGCTCCTTAACTGGAATTATCTAGAACCTCTTCGCTACTTCTTCACTCATCACATTTAAATTGACTGTCCGGCCTCTCATCAACATCGTCGCGTTTTCTTTAATTCATCAGTTTCAAATTTGTCTGATTGGTGGAGGAAACCCTTGCCGTAACTTGTTAGATTCTTTAAAAAAAATGGTCTTTTATACCTCATTTGAATTTTTATCATTTCCCCTTTGGTATCTGCTTCTATTTCTTTCATGTTTTTAAAATAACATACTTTTAATTGATTTCATTAAGTTTGGCACAGCATAGCCTGCTTTGGCTCTTGTGTCACAAGACTCCATTGTCATTTACACTCTCTCTACTTCTACGCAACAACGCTTAAGGACTTATTCGTTTCGTTTTTCAAGTAGCTGTTGCCAGTTTTTACATCAAGGAACAAGATTTGTAGGCCTGACTACAAAGCCGTAGCCCATGAAAGATATAAAATCCAAAAGCTATACGGAATTATCACGGATGAATGACCGGATTTCGAACAATTATAGGCCGCGGTAGCCTAGTGGTTAAGGAATCAGACTCGCAGCTTTCCTTGAATCGTGGGTTCGAGCCATGATACCACAAAATGTGACGCCGTGTAGCCGGGTCTGAAGCACGTTAAATCTATCGGGTCCCAAAGTCCCCCTATAGGCGAGGTGTGGAAGTTAGGAGAGGGAGTTCCAGTTCGGATGTTGTCCTCGTCACTTGATCGTGGTTCAAAATTACGTGGTCCGTCGGCAATAGCCCTCGTGTTGCCTCCAGTGTGACGTTAATAAAACCAAACCTAAAACAATTATATTTTCGAAACTATAAAACATATTACTGAGAGTGATACACGGAATTAAGGAAAAATATACCAAGTTTTTCTTCCTTTGTCGATCAATAGACGACAACTCACCCATAGAATGCTGTAGTTAAAATCCAAAAATGGCGATAATGACTGAGAAAAGTTTTTTTCGTATTAGAATATATGCACGATTTTTTTCAATTATTTCTAAACATGCATTTAGAAATCGATACCGAAGCACAAAGTCGCAAGTACATTCTGCATTGGAAAAAACAATTTAAAAATGCAGGTTGCTCGTGCAGAAAGAAAAGCAGTGGCCGTTCACATGTCTCGAAAGAAACGGTGGAGAGGATGAGGTGGAGTTTTGTTCGAAGTCCCCGGTAGTTTACGACACCTGCCGCCAAAAACACTGTTTATGCACCACTGATGCTGAAAACATTGTAAGAACTTAAATAAAGTATTTGTACAACATTAGGAATCATTGACTCAATTGTGCAATATGAGGAATCATTGATACTACATTGTGAGCGGAACAAACTTGATTACAGATTAGTTATCCGTTGTGTAACAGAAGGATCGCAAATGAAACATTTGTAACTGAAAATTAAACAATAAAATTATTAAATTGTAATAATTTCAATTAATTAAATTATTTTTCTCTAATTCGTGTAATTAATTAAATTACTTTTCTCTAATTTCATGTATTGTGACACGTGTAATAGCTTCGAAAATTTAAATATTTAAAATCCGGTTATTCATTTGTGCTAACCTTGTATTATATACGACGAAACTAAAATGTGAACGCATCAAGTACAGTAACCTCTCTTTAATCCGTCATTCAATGATTCGGCACATTCTATTGTTATGTAATGCATCTGCTTTCGCAGTGCAGAAAAGGTCCACGCACTGAATCGGCAAGTTCTTTCAAAATAAATCTAAATTTTTTGTTCTCTAAGACTCTCTAATAAACGCAATTACTTTGCTTTTCAGCTTGAAAACAATTAACACCAACACATAAATTCACTACAGCACAAATTTACAGTAATTACAATATCGCATAAACATATATATATATTTATTTCCCATTATACACTCTAACTTATAAACACAGTATCACAGTTAGAGTGCATAATGACATATAACTATAAATACCCTTCATTTGACATTCTGGAGACTTCTTTTTTCTTCTAATATCTCCTTTTTTCGTTCAGAAGCATCTAGTTTTGCTATCTGTCTGGCGACATTTGTCGGCCAAATTTATGTCCAAGGTCATCCTTACATGTTCAGGAATACTTTTTTGCGTATTCTCATCTTCATAGTGAAATTATCTTTTTTCGTCATTCTGCAAGGAGGACAACTAAGTCCAAACTTTCCACGTAACATTGCTTCCTCTCTTGAAAGACTACACGTCTAGGGCATTGTTCTTCTATAGAGGAATTGTCCTGATTGCTTTCATATTATGGACCTGTTTGTCGAAGTGTACAACTTTTGGCTTAGATGTCGGCGACTTCTGAATCAGAACAACAAATTCTCTTAACAATGATATGTAATAATCAATAGTTATGTCTTATTCGGAAGATTAAAGTTAATAACACCGGTATAAAACGAGTTTTTTAAACATAGGTTTTCATTCAAACTTCGCACTTAGCGTAACATAATTTTTTAAACTTAAAATTTTACGAGGAGATAGTTTAATTTTCTGTTTTCAATATTGTAGTAAACAATTGGAATTATGAGTAAAATTTAATTCTATAAATAATTAGTTTAATCAATTAATTTTTATTAATTATAATTAAATTTTTGTATTGTTATCCAAAACAATCGTGTATGGAGAATTTCAGCTGAATTGAGAGTTTTAAAATGTGAGAAAAAAGCTTTTAAAGTTTTGACCCAGACGTAGCTAAAATGTGAGTAAAAGAAAACCCATTAAAGAAGGAAGCAATCGTCTTTGGCGGAGCTGGGGATGGAACCCAGGGCCTTTCATATGCTAAACGAATGCTCTATCACTGAACTACACTTCAACAGTTTCACGCTTTAAAAAATTCATATTTTGAGTAGAATGTAATTCTTTAAGTAATTAGTTTTAATCAATTAGTTTTTCTTTTTGTTGTTAAATTATAGCGTTGTCATTTAAAACAAATGTGTTTTGAAAATTTCAGCTCAATCGAGTACTTTAAAATGTGAAAAAAAGCTTTCAAAGTTTTGACTCGGACATAGTTACAATGTGAGTAGAAGAAAACCCATTAAAAATGAGAATTTTTTTTATTTGTTCAGGCTGGAGCTCGTCTAAATATTTGATTGCAGAAAAGGAAAGGCGGAGATACGTGTTGTTTTCAAAAGGATTGTCAAAAAGGCACCCAGGGGCGATTTATAATACTTTAAATTTAAGTTCACGGAAAATTCCTTTTCCTTATTTTGCGCCATATATTATTTTAGTAAAGTTTTGCCTTTTCCTCTTTCTTTTAGGTGTATTTTTAAAACTCTTTCTGATTTGGGTCCTCCTCTGTATCATCTACAAACTATATTTAATCATCATCGCTCAATGCTAAAATAAATAACACATTTGGTTAAAATGAAAACAGCAGTTATATAGATGATCACACGTTTTAATATTTTTAAAGTATACTACAATTTGGCAATTTTTTTAATCAAAGTTCTTTGATATCATGCCTGAAATGGCTTGACTCTATCATTGGAACTTAGATTTTTCTTAATGGAAAACATTTTTTTTTTTCATATCCTGGAAAAGCCAAAGATACACCCTTCAAAAACATTTGTACTTTTGCGTCCAGAGACTTCATTGTACTCTGTCGCAACTTTCTGGGATATCCTCGTCATTTGACCGAGGTTCAAAATTACGAGGTCCATCGCTAATAGCCCTCGTGCTCTAGTGCAACGTTAATAAAACCAATCAATCAATCGCATCATTTCCAAAAAATATAGTTAATTTCTGAAATATCTTTTTATTTATTTATTTTTTTATTAAGTATTGATCTTTTAAAATGCTTTTTTTTTTATCTTCTTATGGATTAACTGTTTTGAATTAGTCTATTTTGCGGACAAATTCTCTTTTTTTGCGATTAGTTGTCTTATGTACGGCATCATTAATAATTGGGTTCAGTGATGTGCTATCTGTACGTATTATGGAATTCTCTGGATGATAGTACCTGGCGGCCTAAGATCTTTTTTTTTTTTTTTCTTTTAAAAAAAAAAAAAAATAACCATTTTACTTTGGGGGTGAAGTAAGTCAAATCCCCCCCCCCCCCCCCCCATACGACCACAGTGATGCCCCAGTTTCTCTCTCAATCCAGAGGACGGCATCCGCAGAGGCTACAGATGTAAAACCTCACCATTTGTTTCTACTCGGAAAAAAAAGAACTACTCAAAAATGAATACCCAGACGTACTCATTTTGAAATGAGTATGTTTGTGTCAGATTTGAACTTATATATTTATCGAATGTAAAACATTACATGTATTCAAAACCAAAAAAAAAAAAAAAAATGTGAAATCAACACTCTCAAAAAATTATTGCAGATACAAGGACTACAAAAGTTCCTTTTATATACTGGCTACTTATTTTAAAACTTGGGGCTCAAAAACAAATATATATGGTTTGCTTAAACATTTCGAACTATATTTCGTATTTACAATGACACGTGGAAAAACACATGAAAATTAAAATGAGTACGTTCTACGATTAGGAGGTGTTGTGTCTTTACATTTTTTTATTATTATTATTATTGATTTCCTTAGAAAGATTATATTATATCTAAAGAATTGTTATTTATCACACACAGTTTGAAAATGATTTTCTGTGAGTAATTATTCCTGTGTTACAGACTACCCATAATATTACATTGTAATCGTATTTTTAGTGACTTCTTTAATTTGCATAGATCGGTGTTGAAAATTATTTTCATGCATGTAAATATTTGTGTATGACGCTTATATTTTATAGAATAACGTAAAAGAATTTAAACAGCAGTATTGTGAAATTTCAAAAGTTTTTAGCCATTTTGCTACACTTTTTTATCGATGACTATTACAGTGATGATGCTCGACAAGAATACCATTTCTTTCACTTCATAAGAGTGTAATATAACTTAAACTGTCTTTTTTAATTGATAGAGAAATTATATATTTTTTTTATCTTGTTTTAAGATACATATTTGTATTTAAGGTATTAAAGTTTTACCGTTTTCGAAAAATTGTTGTGCGTCAGTTTTTCGTTCCAATAATACTGTGTGGCAATCGTAAAGTTAGAAACTAAACACACATAATAAAATGTTGACAAAAATAGCTTTTATTCCTGATTATTCTTTAATGAATTGAAGTAAATTTCAAATGCTTTAAGGCAGGAGTAAGATATTTCAGAATATATTTCTTAAAGAACATGGTTTTAATTTAAACTCAAGTTTTATGTGCATTTTGGAACCAAATTTTCGCAATCTAATCAGGCATCCTTCCTGTTATAAACCAATACTGTTCATCATAAGTGATTGTCTTGTGTTTCATCACTATTGTCTCACATTTTTTAAGTTATCCGTTTTAAACTCATATGACTTGAGATTAGGAACCACTACTTGTTTGCGTTGTAATTCAAAATTTGATTTTTATTTAATTAAGGTTTAAACACAGACATTTCATATCTTGATTTTTTTTATAATGTGGCCCAAACGTGTTGCAAAAATTTAAATAAATATTTGGGGCAGTATATTCAGATTTTATTCTATGCATTAACTCCCAGCATTCCTGCACACAGAATAAATAAAACAATTTCTTTTGTATTCGATAAATGACACAAACACTATAGTTATATATAATACATTAAATTGTGAAAACGCTTACAAATGTTCACCATAGAACAAGGCCGAGAATATTGTTTAGCTCTTTTATTTGTTGGTATTTGTATTTTTCTTTACACAATTTAACCACTTTATTCATGCACTTCTTAAAGTTAATGTTTTTAAAAAGTATGCTTGTGCCAAGACGAATTACAAAGTAAAACCGAGGTACTGGTGTTGGTTGGAAGAAACAAGAATCACATTTGCACGACAAAGCAACGTAACAGATTGTAAGCAGTACTCAAGATTTATAGAATGTAAAATTTTCTATTTCCTCAAAATTCTGTTTTTTTCCTCCGACTGTATCATTTCTATTCAAATATAATTTTAAAAATTAACATTTTATACATATTTTTAAAAATCAGATTATCACTAATATAGGTTTTGGTATAAGTCTTGTTATTCACAATAGTCAGACTTTTTTCTGTGCTTCATTTTACATTAAAACGTATAAGTAAATATTGTATTTTATTAATAACTATTACTTTGAGAAAAAGAATTTATTGCTAGCTATTATTAAATTTGAAATTGTATATAGAATTTTCATATTCACATATATTTTCCTTAAATACTGTTGAATCCTTTTTGAAACATTATAACCAACTTATGACTAAATTAATTTTGCTTGAAAAACACATTTTAAAAAGAACTATAGTTCAAGGTTAAACTATAGTTAAAATTGCACCTGTTTAAATCAAAAATCATTATATAACTGTTACAGCTTAATTATGTATCTTGATTAAAAGAGAAAATAGTTTAATCCAATGTTGCTTTATTTTTTTTAAACAGAATGAGCTTGATAAATATCAAGTGTTTTTATATAAAAGATACTATAATTCAGAAGAGTTTAATTACACTTTAACTATTCACATTTATTTTTTAGAGGTTTTAGAATAATTACAATACTAGAATAAATATTGGGGCCTTTATTATTAACATGTTAGAATCAACCGATGATCTACTGATACGTAGCAATATTTATACATGAAATAATTTGAAATACAAAATAAGCTTAATCAAAACAAAAAGCTGAAATGGGCCATTAACAGTTCAGAAATACGACTGTTTTAAGCAGAAAATAAATTAAAGCTTATATCGGAAGTATACAAACAAACGCCAGAAGCAAGTTTAAATAGGCTTACCTAGTGACATTTTAACTACATAATTAAACGAAAATAAGACTATAGATATATAAAAATATAATCAAATTATTTCCAATCGAATGTAAATAAATTAATAACATAAGAAATATGATAATATTAAATATATTAATCGAAATAAAGTGGATGTACAAGATGTAAACAACTTGCTCATAGTGAAATCCGATGTTTTCACAGACCACCCCGGTTTGTTTTTGTGGACACATATGTTGGCAACATTATTAATTTTTCGCTATATATGATTTACAACCAATTTAATTATATGGTGAATGTGATTAACGTTTACCTCATTTTGGCAGATCATTTAAAAATATAGTGTTATAATTTTAATGCAATTTATTTATATACCTAATAAATCATACTATTTGATCCATTCAGGTCAAAAATAAAAGGAATTTTAAGCAAACTGTGCAAACACCAAAACATGGCAGCGGTTGTTGCAGTAGAATATAATATAGGTCATAACAAAGATGAAAAGGTTTATGTATATCATGATACATATTTTAAGTGCTAAAATCACATAATTTAAAAACCTGCTTTTTAAGGTGGCTAACCATTAACCATTATTTCTCCATGAAATATATTTTTGCCCCAAAAGCACTTTTTATAAATAAATATAGTATTTTACAACGTTTTTCTGAATTTCACTTGGTGTGTGTGTGAGTGTGTCATCAAATTTTCGATCGTTAATTTAACCAACTTCCCATCAAGCTAGAGCTTTGAAATTTTGGGAATCGTTCGTACTCGCCTTACAATGCAATATTTAGACGTTTGCGAAAAGTTTTAACTAATATTTCAATAGTTTTAATAAGTCAAAATATTCTTTCCTCTCGGCGCTTTTAGGATTGAGGAAAAAATTTCTTTCCCTCTCTGGGAGCACCGGGCACTCCCCACGCAGCAGGCGGTATCGTAAACCTTTTGTACTCACAAAGGGGAGATGGTATCTCCCCTTTACTATCTCCGAGATAGTAAGGGTTGCTGACTTTTAGTCAGTAATCATTCGCAAGAAAGAAA